GGGTCCACTCGGACCCCTTCAGCATAGCTCAAGAGACGGAGCCCGACCGTGGAGCCCTTGGGGACCTTCCCGAGACTTCCAGCAGCTCCCAATCGAAGACGATGCAGTTGGGTCGAAGGAATCCCCATGATGCTGGACCCCCATAGAGCCGACGCTGTAGGGCCTCCACGTTGAATGAACCCCGTGTTGGCCCCCGCCTCCCTGAGCTTCTTAATCTTAATCGTCCTCCCTCTGGCCTTGTCCCACCTGTCCCGAGTGATCTGAACCCTCCGTAGGGACCCCATCACCGCGTCGGTGCCGAGGTTCCTTGCATGATCCACCTTGCTTTCCTTCGGGAGGTCCCACAGGGGCTGCAAGGCCTCATTCAAATCCGAGTCGCTAGTCATGTACTTCGACTTTTCCGAGACGGGGAGCTCGAGCTCCGAGAAACTGGACAACAGGGACTGCACACCTGCGGCGAGCTGCGGTGCAATGAGCTGCTGCGGACCAACAATCTGCAGCGCGATGTCGTCTATCACGTTTCTGATGCACAACTGTGGCCGGCCAGACTGCGCGGCCGCGAGCGGCGATAACAAAAGCAACTTCGTAAGCGTGGTAGCTGCTGAGCACCCTGCAATCACTGCCCCATTACCTTGCACCTTCCTAGATACCGCCCCTCCATAGTGCAGCATCCTATCCCCTGCATAAATCACGCACAGCCCTCGCAGGAGCTTCAAATTGAAGCCATGCTGGCACGCCGCACGATACAAGTCCATATGGTCGATGTGCTCATAGAACTTCTTAAGGTCCAGAAGCACCGTCGCCGCCGAGGTCCCCAGGACTTTCCCGAAGTGGGCCAGCATGTTGTGGACCCATCCTGCTCTCTCGCAGGTAGACGTGGCCCCGGCGCCCCAGAAGAAGGCCTGCTCGTGGGCCTGTTCCCAGGCACGGCAGATGTTTTGACGGCACTTCGACCAAATCTTGGTGAACATGCACAATAATCCTATCGGGCGTACTCCACCATCTGGCTTGTCAAGGAAGATGATATTCGTCAAAAACTCTGCAATCACACAAGGTCGATCTTCGAACGAGCGAAGGATGTCGATAACACGCAATTGATACTCCTCTGGAAGAAACAGGATCTGGCGGGGATGGAAGGAGTCCCACCCAAGACCAGCCCCTTCCTCATACGAGTTACACACACGCCTCAACTGCTCCAAAGAGATAGGTGGCAATTCTTGTCCCAACACATCCCAATGAGCTGGGTGATTTTTGCTGAGCCTGCCTTCTTTGCGCCAAAGGGGAAGCCACTGATCTAGAAGCTGGAGGAGCGCAAGCTCACCGTTGACTGGTAAGCGGCCGTGGTCGTCAACGACACTGAACGGGGCCGTCCTGTCTGCGCGAGAGACCCTGGAATAAGCATGTGCTGCCTTCCCTCCCCGCTGCACTGACGACTTAGCCCACTCCTTCCACTCCGATAGGGACTCCTTGGCGTCCGACTTGCGCAAGCCTTCTACATGCTCTCGTAACTGCCCGAACAGCCCTTCTAACTCCTCTCTGAGCCCCATGGATATCCCTTCTACTAGGCTGATCAAAAAGCGGGCATTCGCGCCTTCGTCTGGCGCCTCCAGCGCCGAGATCATCCCGAACAGGGCGGCACACCATTCGTGAAAAAGACCGCGTGCTCTGGCTCCTAGCATATCTTGGCCAGCTGCAGCTGCACGACGAGCCAACGCCTCGAAGGACATCCAACTGGTGGTCCGCTTTGAATATCTCCTCCTAGACTCTCGGTCCCAAACCGTCTCGAGGGGAATCTTTATGACCTTAGGGCCCCCAACTCTTCCACACATCCTGGCAACGCTAGCACTGTCTAGGTCGTGGAACTGCATGAGCCAGCCCTCAGCCTGGGTAAACCATTCCCTGACCATGGACCCCAAACAGTGCGAGCCTCCTCCAACTTCCCAAGACCACGTGCTTTCCGTAGGGAGCCTCCGAGGACCCACGAGCTTGTCCAGGGGGAACTGCGTATATCTAACCTGCTTCGGGACGACCGTCGACGGGGCCAGGTTCTTGACAACGATGCCCACAGGCATATGAGGCCACGCGGGGGCTGCAGGGAACGCCAGGACCTCCTTGACGCAGTGCCCTAAACACCTGGACCCCACGAAGAAATCGATCTCCCGCTCATCCTTCCTGTCGACCTCCTCCTCTGGCCCTGAACTGGTTACTGGAGCGGACCCTGCTCGACACGTAGCGTGGCCCGTCGTAAACATACATCCCCCAACCTTGGACACCCATTCCGATGCTTCGAGCTCTTCAGGAGTGAGGTTCCAGTCCCCTTGCACAATCCAGAGGCAGGTGAGGGACTTGATGTACTCTCCGAGAGTGTTCAATAACTCAACATTGTCCCCTGTGACTCCAATGCTGGTGTAGAGGTAGACCGAGAAAACCATCAACCCGCCTGGAAGTCCTACGTTGATGTGCCTGCTTGCCACTCGCGACTTGAAAGATTCCAACTCGGGTGGCCATGGCGCACTAGAAGACGCCAGAGAGCTGGCCACTGCCAAGCCTACTCCTGCCGAGGACTGCGTCGGACCTGGCCCTGTGGACGCTGCTGGTCCTAGAGAGAACGCGAAGCAGCGGCGATCACCCCAGCCATAGGCGGAGTCCAACTTACCCTTCTCCTTCAGCCGAGTCTCTTGCACGCAGACCACATGCGGCTTGACTGATTCGCCTGAAGCCGACTCCACGCCGAAGAGGTTCGCTTCTTGGTCCCTACACCAGTCAACCACATTGGTGAACGAGTCCCACGTGTTCGCATTCACACCAAAAATGATCAGATCGCTGACGATCGTGACCGAGTGGCCGACTCCACGAGCCACGCCGTCCTGACATAGTTTTCCCTTTCCGCGTCCGTCGCCAGGTGGGGGCGAGAGATGGTGTAGCCATTTCCGCTCAGAGGGCGAGTCTCCTTGGGCACCGTCAGGGCTAGCTTGACACACAACTGCCCCTGCCGCAGGTGGAGGCAGACCGCCACATCCTTCCATGAAATCGCCCAGGCCTCCACCGAGAACACAGGGCCCATCACTTCCAGATGCGACGCAAGCCTGCAACTCACCATGCCCATGAACAGGGGGGGAGGAGAGGTGGCGCGGGCCTTTCCGCACAGTAGGTGCGCCTCCAGCCGTCCTGGTACTTCCCCCCGACGCGGTGCCCGAAGACGAGGGAGCCGCCGACCCCGAGGTGGTACCCGTAGGAGATGTGGACTCGCGGGGAAGGCCCCCAGCCCCGTTGCGACCGAGGGGTCCCACCTCGCGCGACATAAGAGAAAGTGATGCCGTCGGGGTCGAGGTCGACCCAGAAGGCGATGTCCCTGGCCCTGACCCTCTTCGAGGGTCCTCGACCCGAGGGGGGGCAGCTTCGCGAGACCGTCCGTCTCTGTCCGAAGCTTCGTGGCCCAGGCGAGGCCACTGCCGTGGGTCCAGACCGACCCCGTCGAACTGGCGGAACAGCTCCGTGTCGAAGACGAGGTCGTCCCTCAACACTGGGACTGCGAATCCCGTCGCCTGCTCCCAGTCGAAGTCGATCATGTTGCCCCTTGCGAAAGCGTCGAGGTCGGCCATGCCGAGGCTCGCCCTCGCCGCTGGCTCGGGAGCACTGGACGCCACTGGGTCAGCATCAACCCGCGCTCGGCCGTCACCCTCGCCGCGCCTTCTTGGCCGTGTGCTCGGCGAGCAGCTTGGCCACGGCTGCAGACGTGTCCCCCTCGCCGTCCATGGCTCGCTTGAGGGACTCCTGGAAGTCAGCCTCCAGGAAGTCGGACTCTTCCATGGGAACGGCCTGGTGCTCACCTCCATCATCAGGGGCATCCTCTGCCTGACCCTCAGCATCAGCACCATGATCGCCAGGAGGGCCTGGGCGAACGTCCTCAGCCTCTGCCGCCTGCTTGGCTGCCTCCGCATCCGCAGCCGCCTTGCGCTGGAGCTCTTCAAGGACAGCAAGGGCGTCCTTGCCTTCCTGCGTTGACAGCACCGCAGGCTCCAGCCCCGCCGTGAGCACCTTGAGAGGGTTCTCGTGCTCTCCTGCCTGGAGCTTCGCCAGCACGCCTCGGGCTGCGACGAGGTCCGCCTTGGCCTGGTCGATCCCCTTCTGGATGCCGTCCAGCTCCTCATCGAGGGCTGCCCTCTGCTCGTTGATGTCGACGCAGCGGGCCTCTGCCTTCTGGATCTTCTTCTTGAGGTTCTCCACCTTCCACCAGGCAGACATGGTGGTGGGCGGCTTGGGCGGCGCCACAGCCTTGGTCTGCGCGGCCGCCAAGACCGCAGCATGGGCGTCCTCAAGGCCCTCACTCTTGAGGAACTCCGCCACCAGCTCGTGGGAGAGCCCCGCAGCAGACGCTGGCGCCTCGCCCTTGGCCTTCGGCGGACCGCCTCCAGCTGGGCCCTGCCCCTTGCCACTGCCCTTCGCCTTGGTGCCCGCAGGCTGCTGGTGCCAAGGGGGCGCTGGCGGCGCTGGCTTGCCGCTGAGCTCCGCCACTTTGACACGCAACTCCTGGATGAGCCTCGCCTGCTCGGCCGCGACTGCCCCTCCAGGCGGCCCGTCGGCCCAGGCGCCCTGAGCACGTGGCTTGACCGAGACCGAGGGGCTCTTGGCAGCCGCGGCAGCCCTGCGCGCCGCCTGGACCACCTTCGCAGGTGCCGATGCCCCGCAGCTCCTGCACTTGACTCGATTCGCCCAGTTGTTCCAGCAGCCGCAGGAGCACCCCCAGTAGGGGGTGCGAGCGCCTGGCAGCACATCGGGCTGTGGAACCATGCGCCGCTCGAGGTGCGGTCGCTGGCTCCCCTTCGTGAAAGAAAGAAAGGATGGCTCACAAGCGCGAGCCGCTCTGAAGAACGCGTTTGCAAGCTCAGGCCACAACAGCCTGAGCCAGAACGGCTAGGGGAGGGGGAGGGGGAGGGGGAGGGGGAGGAGGAGGAGGAGGAGGGGGAGGGGGAGGAGGAGGGGGAGGGGGCAGGCCCCGCGTCCAGCGCGTCTCTGGCGGAGGGGCGCGCCGCGTCGCCGAACTGCGGCAGCGACCTGGCAGGGCGACGCCTCCTCGCTCCCTCCCTCCCTCCTCGCTCCCTCGCTCCCTCCCTCCCTCCCTCCCTCGCTCCCTCCCTCCTCGCTCCCTCCCTCGCCACCCTCCAGGTGCCCATGCCGCTGCCCTTGCCCCGTCTTTGCCTCCTTTGGCCTCCTGGGAGGCCCTCGTCGCCGCCGCGGGGTTCGCCTAAACGCTGGCCCGAACGCACCCCAGGGGAGCAGAGGTATCGGTACCAGTTGGCTTCCCACCACCCTGCTCCTTCCGCTCGTCCTGCGCCCTCCTCCTCATTCTATCAGCCCCTCATCAACATCCCCTCCTCCTCCGCAACCTCCCCTCCTCCCCCTCCCAGGGGCTGTGCCCGAGAAGGGAAGGCGTGCCAGCGGAGCTTCAGGCAGTATTGGTTCAGCGAGGCCTCGGTGAACCCCTTCCCCATAGTTTGCACACTCTGCGCTCAGCCAAATAATCCCGAGTCCCTCCTCCCCCTCCCCCTCCTCCCCCTCCTCCCCCTCCTCCCCCTCCTCCCCCTCCTCCTCCTCCTTCTCCTCCTCCTCCTCCTCCTCCTCCCCCTCCCCCTCCTCCACAACCTCGATCCCCCCACCTACTGCTTCGTCCTGATTCCTGATTCCTGATGGTGTTAGAAGTCTCCGACTGCCGCCCCCCCCGGGACAGTCGTCCCTGGGGGGGTGATCAAACTAACCAGGTGACCCTTGGAGCACCGCTCCAAAGGTCACCGGTTGACGTGTTCTAACTCGTACAGGTAAACATACAAAAAACGTAAAGTAAGACATAGAGACAGGAGGGGAGGAGCAGGAGGGGGAAGGAGGGAAGGAGAAGGAGGGGGAAGGAGGGAAGGAGAAGGGAGCTTCCTCCTAATCCTCCTGCTCCTTCTAATCCTCGTCCTCGTCCTCCTTCTCCTCCCGAGAGCGTGGCCATACGAGCTCGCTGCCAGAGGCCGTCACCCTCCCCCGCCTCCCCGTCCTCCCCTTTCTCGTGACCCGCCCCCGTCCTCGCCCGAGCGGGGGCAGCGGCGCGAGCGCAGCACGGGGATCGCCCTACACAGTGATTTTGCGTTTTCGTTTTGTTTTCGTTTTCCCTCGTTTTGTCTTCAATCCGCCCCTGCTGCAAAACGAAATCGAAACGAAAACGGCCCACGAAACCGCCAAAACACTGTTCAGGTCGACCCCTGGTCGGGGACGCACTGACCTGGGTCAATGCAAAACCAAGCCAGTCGGGAGCTCCAGGAGCCCGCAAAATCCTGCAGGATCCTGCGCGCTAGCCCGGGGCAGTGCGCCCGTTGGCATTGACCCCCGTCTCGAGGCTCCCGAAGCAGAGCAAACAACCAGCGCCCGGCGTGCTGGCAAGCACGAGCGACGTCACATGGTGTGCTGGAGGCCCGTGAATCAAAACGCTGAATTGTGTGGCACCGTGGGAACTCTGAATTACGGAGCCGCACATGCATTTCATTAGGGCGGCCTCGTCCAGCATCCCATGGTTGCCCTGTGTTCTTGAACCAGAGAGGAACGGCGACAGCACCTCACCACCCAAAGAGAGACAGACTATAAGACCCACACGAACTCAGGACTCTTGCCTTGTCCTGGAGTGGATAAACAAACAAACATGAAAGGGCCCAGGGACACACAACTAAATAGACACGGATCCCAGGATACCCCATACTCTTCAATATTTGTCTGGATGTTTGTCTTCCCATCCACTTGCCATAGTTTCCGTATTGCCCTGAGAATCGACGAATCGTTGTGTCTATGTTTCCCCTCCTGGAAAACTGAAGGTCCTCCACTATGAGAGCGCAACGAACGTCAACGACCACAAGAACTGCAGGGACGATATGGCGGATCCATGCGCAATGACTTGTGACTGACTGGTGGGGCGAAATGAGGGAGGAACGGAGGGGCGCGACGAACGAGGAAGGATGCTTTGATAGAGGGAGGGAGGAGCAGGAGAAGGGTGAGCGGGATGAGGAGCAGCACGATGTATGAGTGCAAAGGGACGACCGCCTCCCTTCCTCCCTTCGTCATTCTGCTGTCCATACTCCTCTCAACCTCCCTCGTCCCTCACTTCTCACGGTGTCCCCATGCCGTCGCATGCCTCCTCCCCCTTTGCTCCTCGCCATTTCTCACCCTGGGTATCGTGTTTTGCCGCCGTCGTCGTCCTCGTCCTCCTCCTCGTGCTCCTCCACTCCCCTCCCCCCGCTTTCTCCTCCCTGGCGCGCGCGAGGTCACCTCAGAATCTTTAGTCTTGAGTCTCCAGGCCCCCCAGTAGGGCGACGAGATCTATACATATCCACTGCTCCTGGCCAGGCCCATCCTGGGCCCAGGAGCTGTGTATATGCCTCCCTGGCCAGGCCAGGAGGGCGTATACACCGCTCCTGGGCCCAGGATTGGCCTGGCCAGGAGCAGTGGATATGTATAGATCTCGTCGCCCTACCCAGGGACCCCAAACCGGGATTTTGACCCCGGCCCCCCCCCGGCCCGGCCAGGTCCCGGACCGAACTCACCCGGGCCGGCCTGGGCTCCCGGGGTTCGCTCTGGAGCTGCACGACAGCACTTGGCGCCTCCCAAGAAGCCGCCAAGACGGTCCACGAGAACCCAAAGTCGCAGAAAGATCGTTCCAAGGCGCCCAAGATGAACTCAAAACGGCCCAAGAGGCCGACAAGACACCCAACGAAGCCTCCAGGAGGCCTCCCAAGAAGCCAGAATCTTGAAATGTCAATGGGAAGATGTGCATATTCAGCATATCAAACGTGTTAGCCTTCACGGCGTTGAAAACCGTCCAAGAGGCCCCAACGAGGCCCCCAGGACCACCCCAAGACGGCCCACGAGGCTCCCAGGAAACCCAACGACAACCCAAAAGAACTCCAACTTGGCCCAAGAGGCGCCCTGGACGGCCCAAGAGAACTCCAAGACGGCCCCAAGAAGGGCCCAAGAGAGGGACCACGAGCCGCGAATTCCAGCGCTCCGCCCAACGAAGCGTTCTGGAGGACCCAAGAGGCCCCCAAGCTGCCCAAGAGGCCCCCATGAGGCAACCAAGAGGCCCCAAGGAGCCCCCAAGAGGCCCAAAAGAAGTCCCTGGCGGCGCCCATGAGGCACCCATGAGGCACCCAACAGGTCATGATTCGGACAAGCCTCGTGGAACGCAGTCATGGAGGCGCAGTAGTTTATAGGGGTCGGCAGATGTGGCGTAAGCCTATATAATCTACGTCCGGAAGTGACGTGCTGAGCGGCAGTGTTTTCTGCGGAGGCGATAATGCAATGTACCCAACGTATCCAATTGTTGCATAATTGCAACCTACTGTATTGTGTTACATTATTACATTATTATTATGTCTCCCCCAGCGCTACGCCACATCCACCGACCCAGGCTGACGACCCCCTCCTGGGGCTCAAAAACCTACCAAAACCTATGGAGAACATATGATTTGGGCATGTTGGCCCTCTTGGGGGTCCAGCAGGGCCTCTTGGGGGTCCAACAGGGCCTCATGACGGCTCCAGATGGCCCCAAGACGGGCCAAGACGGCCCCAAGACGGCCAAAAAAGCCTCCAAGACGCCCCAAGAGGGCCCCAATAGGACACCCAAGAGCGCCTCCAGAAACCAAAATCATTAATTTTCCATTGGGTTTTGAAAGATTTCAACGTTCTCGCCTAGTTCGACCCTCAGAGGCCCAGGACGGCCGAAGCAGCCTCCAAAATGTCCCCAAGACGGCCCAAGAAGCCTTCAAGAGGGCCCCAAGACGGCCCAAGAGGGCCCCAAGACGGCACAAGAGGCCCCAAAGACGGCCCAAGAGGACCCCAAGAGAGCCCCAATGCGGCCTCTACAGGCCCCCAAGACGGCCTCCGAGCGGACCAGACAGCGCAAGAACGCATCAAGACGGCCCAAGACGCCCCCACGGGGATCCGAGAGGCCCCCAAGAAACCCCCCAGAAGCCCCCCAGAGGCCTCCAAAAGGTCCCCAAGAATTTGTTATCGCCCCAGGACGGTCCAAGACGCCCCGAAGAGACCCCCAGGAGGCCCCCAACAGGCCCAGCGTTTCCCGCGGATGCTGTAATGCAACGTATCCATTACATCACATAATTGCATAATTGCTACACATTGTCTTGTGTTACATGATTATGTCTCCCCCCCTGACCCCCCAGGGGCTACGCCACATCCATCGCCTCAACCTGGCGACCCACGTTTGGGGCCCCAAGACCTACCAAAACCGATGTAAAATCTATGATTTCGGCTGCTTGGGCCTCTTGGGGGGGCACGAGGGCGCCAGGACGGCTCAAGAAAGCCTCTGTGCAAGCCAAGACGGCCCAAGATGGCCCCAAGGGGGCCCAACAAGGCCCCAAAAAGGCCCAAAACGGCCCCAAGAGGACCCTCAAGAGCGCCTCCAGAAGTCTAAAACTTTGATTCCCCACGGTTTTTGAAGATTTCAGCGTTCCCGCCTGTTTCGACTCTTAGAGATCCAAGACAACCTCCGAACGGCCCCCAAACGACCAAGACGCCCCCAAGAGAGCCGCAAAACGGCCCAAGAGGGCCCCCAGACAGCCCAAAGAGGCCGCCGAGATGCCGGGCCCCCGAGACGACCAAAGAGTACCCCAAGACAGTCTCCGAAGGGACCAGAGAGCGCAATAGCGCCCCCAAGACGCCCACACGGGGCTCCGAGAGGTCCCCAAGAGGCCTCCCAGAGGCCCCCAAGAGCCAAGAGGCCTCCCAGACGCCCCCGCGAGGACCCAAGAGGCCCCAAAGAGGCCTCCACGGGGACCCCAAGAAATTCCCAGGGTCCCGACAACGACTGGACTGTACGTGCTCCGGACGTGCACCCCGCGAAGCGAAAAGAATCCACGTCCGGAGGTGACGTGCTGAACGGCAGCGTTTTCCGGCGAACGCCTTAGTGCAACGTATCCAATGACCCCAAAAGGGCCCAAGAAACTCCTAAAACGTCCCAAGAGGCCCCAAGACGACCCCCAAGAGTGCCTCCAGAAACGAACATCATTAAT